CGCCGCTGTCACATTGCTGTTGTTCAGTTGAGAGACCAACACAGTCGAGACCGCCATTGGCCGGGGCTGGGGTATCACAGGTGCGCATGCGCTCCTGAACACCGTTCCCACAGGTAGTGCTGCAGTCTGACCACCCGCTCCAGCCACTCCATTCCCCATTAACTGGAACAGACAATTTCATGTGTCAAATAGTTATCTATGAATAGTAAGTAAACTGTACACGTTTGTAACGTTATATAAGGCCACACCGTCTTAATTTTATGGATCACATCCGCGCTCGCATTGATTTTTTACATGTTTAAAAAAAAAGAAAGGATCACGTCATCCGAGGCTCTGGCCTGGGTAGTCCATGGTAGTTAGCAACAATACAGAGCCGGTGGTAACTCTGGAGGATGGCACCCAGGCTACCAAAGCTCCACGACTCAAGACATCAGTACATACGTACAGTGTCGATTCATAAATCCGAAAAAAACAGCATGTGCTGGCTTGTCGTATACGTCGCTATGTTCTGCCACAGTTCTGCCGCAAATTCACAATACCAGCTTTGCCTTTGCCTTCCTGTGGTTTAGTAGCATTTTTATTTTTGGCCGGATTTTTATTTTATTCGCCCGCGCACACTATTTTGGGGGTCTTCAGAGGATGTCATCCATAAAATTAAGTCGGTGTGGCCTGACGAAACGATCTTCTACTTCTGTCCTTAGAAAAGACTTAGAAAAAACGCTAGCCCATTCCACAACGAGTGTCATATTTCTAATACGTGAAGTCTCAGTGGGAAATGGTATATATACATGGACAAATGCGGGCAGGCTGAAGATGGTAGAAATAAGGATGAGACATGTATTTTGCTAGATGAGTTAGTCGACTATTGAAGGTCCATTTTGCCTCGGGCCACCTAAAGTGACCTGTACATTTGATGGGTTTAATTTGGAACAGATGTTTTAGCAACAGATCATCCTTCCAACGTACTAGTACTTTTGCGATTGATCTGAATCGTAGTTAATGTAAGATATCAAATCAAATCAGCTTAATTGCTCAACAACTGTAGCTGGTACAATGTATGGCAAAGAAACAACAATGGTACATACACAAACTAGTACTAAAATATAATTCTAAAGAGCTAGTCTATAATGATACTAAAGCTAATCTATTGTGTTTTCTTAGGAAGAGTATTATTACATTCTGTAATTCAAGGGATATATCAGCTATTTACAAAATGGTGTCGCTTTTGTAGTGATTCAGATATGAATTTTCCAACGTACACTGATATCTGAGTAGGACAAAGATATCTGATTTTGAGTGAGGTAGCGTAACATTAGTTTTGGAAGCTATGGATTGTATCAACTTTTGTCTGTTTTCTTCATATGTTGGACATGACATCATGAAGTGGAATTCGTCTTCAATATCCTCCTTGCATTTCATCTGTCAAAGTTACCTGTGCGGATTGCACAGGCATGGAGTGCTCTTCACTCATTACATAAGATTTGGAAAGCGCCCATTAGAAAACAAACTAAGATCAAAGTGTTTAAGGCATGTATTGAAACAATTCTTTTGTATGGGTCAGAATCATGGGTCATGAATATGTCACATTCTAGAAAACTAAACGGGCCATACACGAAGATGTTGCTAGTAGTTTTCAATACACCATGGTGGAAACATACTACTAATGAACAGTTATATGGTTCGTTACCAAATGTAACTACAGTAGTTAAATGTCGACGACTAAGCTTGGCCGGTCATGTTGTACGTAGTGAATAACGTTTCTACTCTGGAACCCTGAGTTGGACGGCCAAATGTAACACTTAAGAAACTTATAGAAACTGAAACAGGCTAGCAGGGCCTGAAACTTATCTCTGCGATGAAGGACAGAAAGTTCTGGAGATCTAACTTTGTATGCTCCACCTCTTCGGAGGATGAATGATGATGATGATGATGAACGTTACCTGGACAATCTCCGTTGTTGCATGATTGAGACTCCTCCGCATCTTCCCCCAGGCAGTTCTCCCCTCCGTTTGCAGGCCACGGGTTGTCACAGTAGCGTGTGCGGATCTGTGTACCATCTCCGCACGTGGTACTGCAGCTCGACCAGGACAACCACGCAGACCACTGTCCGTCAACTGCACGAAAAGAAGGCAGTAAGGCAAATCAACAGGAAAGTATTACCAACAAAACGCCCTTTCACACATATGTCCTCCCGAACATTGCAGCACCCCCCCCCCCCAACCATGGTTATGAGTAGGTCGGCACGGTTGGCTATGGTTGGCTGGTGTTCCGTATAAGGTCGGCTACTGCTCGGGTGCACCAGCCGAATGTTTCAACACGTTTGTCTGTTCTCTCAACGGACAAACTCCCTTGGCATGCTTGTCTCTCTGTTTGGCCCATTTCTACTCTTTCCAGCCGCCTCCCCAAGCCTGGTAGAGGGTAGGAGGAAGGTACTGAATGTGTGACAGGGGCTTAAAGAAACTCCGTCTTCCTAAATAACAATGATCTGACAAGTGTTCTTTCACTATGTGACATACATCGCATACATACATACATACATACATACAAACATACATACATACATACATACATACATACATAAATATTTGACATGTTTTGCGGATAATTGCTTAGGGTAGGAAAGGTCATGGAACGCATTTACACCTCGACAGCTTCCTAGCCACAGTTTAGAAGGAAAAACTACAGTGGTTCGGACATGTGTCTAGGGCCAAAGGCACACTGTCACATACAGTTCTTCAGAAAAAGGTGGAAGGCGCACGGCCGCGGCGACGTCCCCGTCGGTCACGGATTTAAGGAGTGGACCAGTCTAACAGCCAACCAGATGGCCAGACTGGCAGCAGACCGCCAGCAGTGGAAGACCTCGTGAGTGAGTGAGTGAGTGAGTGAGTGAGTGAGTGAGTGAGTGAGTGAGTGAGTTAGTGAGTGAGTGAGTGAGTGAGTGAGGAAAAGTAAGGTCAAACAGTCGTATACCTGCACAGGCCCCTTCGTTGCAGGACTGGGTCTCGTTGCCATGTCCTACGCAGTAGGCACCGGCATTGACCGGCTCAGGGTCGTCACAGCTGCGGCTCCTCATCTGTGTCCCATCGCCACATGACTCGCTACATGCTGACCACTCACCCCAGGCTGACCATTGTCCATCAACTGTATAAAAATGACAAATATAAATTATTATTCGTGATTTATTCAGCATATAATGATTGACACGTCGATGGTTGGACATCCATATAATTAGATACACAAGGAAACAGGCCCAAGCAACTGGATAGATTTTGAAAACTGTCTGACATTTTAAGTTGCTTTTCGTCTTTGGTGCTTCAAGGTCAGAGAATGACAGATAATACTCACGAACCATGGGTCAAGATACAAAATAACAAGGGGGGGGTATGTAGTAGCAGTCTACTGTACCTGCGTGGCAGGTATGGGATGGAATTAAATCACAATTCACTGACGAAGTAGTGGATACTAACAGTTTTCAAACTTTATCCAGTTGCTCGAGTATCATTTTCCTCGTGCATAAATTTGTAATTTCATTCCTAAGTTTCAGGAAAATCATGAGAACGTTAAGTCAGGAAGTTTAAGGTAGTATGAGTTTTCGACTCAAAGTAGATGCATGGGGAACCTGGAGCCCCCAAATCACTCTCTTTATAATGGTTAAGTGACATTGCTGCACAGTGCATAATTAATTATCCACATTTCATCCATGTAAGTTCAGTCCAAGTACATTCAAAACAAGAATTCGGAGATCTCATACCGACATGAAAATAGTAAGAGTCTTTCTAGTTTTTGTCTCATTGATCATGGAAATGGGATGAATGTATGTAGCATAATTTATTTTATCTATGGTTTTCTCAATTCAAATTACATAATTATGCAAATTAAGCTTTGTGCTAAGCTTATACTGACAACTATTACAACATGCATTTCTCAGTGAAACAACTTTGAAACATAAAAGTTTTCAAACGTTGTGCAAATGGTTTTGATTTAGTGGGAACATCACATATACACAGCCATCATCACATATAAAGGGAATGAAATACATCACTGTATCGAAGTAAAAGACAAAACATTAAATCGATATCAAAGCCTTGTCTCCTCTCTTAACATTTATCTGCCATCCACTTTTCAGCATGGCAACAGACAGCTTTGCCCATTTACGGCATATTGACGACTGCCAGAGGGCAATAGAATTTTTTTGTTTTTCTTTCCGAAAATCTGGCGAAACTTAATGCGCTGAAGCCATCCATAAGTATTACTTGAAGTGGCCCACGGTATTCAGAAACACAGACACACACAGAGACAGACAAACGGAAAAATCCTACATTTCCATGGTAAAAAGCACAGTATAATGATTTTAAAAGTGACATCCGTAACAAAGAAATATATTTTGTGGTGATGATTCTAGTAAACATGGGGTGCCCAAAGAACCATTACAAAACTATGTACTAGTAATATATGCAACTCACGATCGCAGAGGAAGCCGTCAGCATTCAAGACGTAACCAACCATCGTGCACGAACATTCAAAGCTTCCCTCAGTGTTCGTACAGGTCTGATCACATCCACCGTTGTTGGTGTCACATTCATTGACATCTGAAAAAAAGACATTGTTAAAATTAATCCATTTATATTCGTGAATAATTTCATCAGGTTTGTGAATGAATAAGAAGAGCCGACATTTCGATGATCTTCATCAGAGCAATTATGATCGGTTCACTATGGAGTGCAGCTAGGTGTTACGATGAAAAATCTTGTTAAACAAGTGGTAACCGTTGTGAACAATGAAATTTTCTATTCTATATTTGCCAACCATCCTGCTACCCCAATGGCTGACTTAAGCCTCGGTCACAACCCGCCATACGTGCTTCTGCTTGCTGTCTACGTGCAAAAACTTGGGCAAACGCAGGGCATCCGTGCCGTGTGAGTACGGCCTCCTTACGGTAAAGTTGCAATCGAACAGAGATCGTACGTTGTAAGCAAGTACAACTCTCTTACCACTTGCGCAACGTACGATGCACGCAACCGCTCGCGGCCAGACTTGGCGTGCAGACCACACTCTCACACCTTGCGCAACAGTGCGAGTGACGTGCATCGACGCCACTCCTTCTCCACGTTTTCAGAAAAAACGTAGCAGACGTAGCCTCCCAAAAAACGTACGGACAAAAAGCACCTACGGCGGGTTGTGACCAAGGCTTTAGCTATAGGAGAGATGATGATGATGATGATATTTACCTTTGTCAGAACTGTAGGATTTCGGTAAGTGGAGCAGCTGTGGTGTGAGTCTGTATGTCGTAGGTCAACGTCATAACCCAAGAAGTCGTGGATGGATCTTTTTGATATTTGGTATGTGAGTAGCTATTGTGGAAGCGTAGGTCAAGTTCCAACAGCTTTTTGTGCATCTGTTGATTGTATGTGTATGCATAACTTGAGAAGCGGTTGGATGAGTGGCGGTAATGGAAACAGCACCTGCAGACCGAAATGGAAAACCATGGAAAAGACACGTGGACGATGTCATAGAAGTTGTAAAGAAAGTCCAGCGAGAGTCCAGCGAGAACTTACAGACCATCTCAACAACATTCGTATACTGGTATACATAGTATACAGTTCACTCATGAAGAGGAAAAGGATGGAACACTACTTTTGACAAAATATTTATAATTAAACACACAACAAAAGTTCAGCTATGCTGGGGAGCTTTCGAGACGTACTCTGTCTCTTCATCAACCCGATTCAGATCTCGTCTTGGAGTTCTCTTGTCACGTGACTTGATGTGATAATCACATGACAAGAGCCAGCCATATACAGGTTTTAGGTAACTAGCACGTCGGCAGAACGTACTGCGTCTGCCCAGAACCCCGTATTTTCGCGTTTTCGTTGGGTTTTTGGTCAACGTTGCATCAGAATTTTGCCTGTTGCAGAGGATATTATTTCCGACATAACATTTGGAAACTACTGTCGAAATGCTGACCTTATATGAGCGAATACAACCTTATATGAGACATTCTGCCGAAATGCTATGTACAATACATTACGGGTTTCGCGCAGGTGCAGTACGTTCTGCCGACGTGCTTAGGTAACTGTGGAACACTACCATTCCCAGGCACTCTCCTAGTGCGGAAGGGGGTGGAGGTGGTGGCACGGTCAAACTACTGGTGTATAGAAAGAGCACGCAGACGGACCAGTACCTCAACTTTCAGTTCTACCAACCACTACAACAAAAAATAGGAGTCATCCGCACCTTGCCGGACAGTTGTAACACAGTAGTCACAGAAAATCAGGAAAAAAGAACTGGAGACTCGGCATCGCACTCTCACTCACCAACTGGACATTCAACAAAGTAGAACAACAGAAGAGAAGACAAAAACGGAACGGAGGGGTACTCATTGATTTCGCAAATAAGAGCCTCATTTGCATGAATCATACCAGTTGATTTAGGGCACAGCCTAGTAACTGGCTTTCCTATGTAAATATATTGGAATCATGTCGTCAGAACAACGTGGTCAAAAGTCATATACCTCAGAGTTTTAGACCTTAAAAAACACACATTGGCAGGGTAGTCCAACCTCTAAAGTCTCCATTTAGACAACAAAAATCGTATACAGCATACGCAGAACCATGCGGGTGAGAATTCTCCCCTAACGTAACATTGAGAACTGCCCCACCCCTCCGGACAGCTGATGACCGCATGAAAACCTATCTCTTCTTAGACAACACAAACAACCGAAAGTCTGTTTTTTTGTCAACAAAATAAAAATACTACAACCCTTACCTAAAACATCCAACTCCAAAACAACAACATTTCCCAAGAAAAACCCTTCTTTACATTTGGTTCCAGACTCATCTCTACTAAACATGGGCCCTCACTGATGCAGTAAAGTACGCTCATTCTCATAAGCGACATCACTAATTAACAGAAGAGAAAGGGTCGGCAGTAACGGACCGTATAGCCGGACCATATACAGGCGTATCCGGTGTATAAAAGAACCGGGACGAGGGGAGATACAAACTTAGCCACGATTGGGATTGTGTTCTCGCCTCAAAAGCGCCACCTACATTAGCTACATATAGCGACGAGAAGCAGTACTCCAGTCAGAAGCTCTGAGGAAGGTGTCTGATAGACATCGAAACGTAAGCAAGGTAGGAACAATACCTAGTTGAGTATAAAAGATGTCTGAAGTTGTAATCAAATTCTAATTAGCAGAAGTAAATTATTTGATGTCAGGACAGAGTCTGTTTGTCCCTAGAACATGTATGTGTGCTGTGATCCAAGTGTGACAAAGCAATGTGGCAGATTTCTGATGATATTCTGGTACATTTACTTTTAAGAGGCTCTTCTTTTCGCTCAACAACGTACAATATCCAAATATTACAACATGTACAGGTATTTCTGTTGGAATCAAATCGTTTTTGTAACATAGTTTATCGATCAATCCTGTCAGCATTTATATATATCAGTTTCATTTGTTCATCGATTTATTATTGTATTCAATTTCAATATTTTAATCTGTGCTTTGCTTGTCGTATGTATTATGTATTGTCTGGTGGCGACATGAATATAAGTGTAACTGGAGTGTGTCGCCACCGCGTCTTGTCATTATATGTTTCAATAAAAAAAACGTGAGCCTAATGCCCTGCACAATGAAGTAAGGGGCTTGGATAGAAGGATAATCTCAAGAAAGCTTCAAGGAGTTACTGGACAGGACTACACCATCATAACATAATAAGTCAATGGGCTAAAATACTAACACTTAAAAACACTTCTTTGCATGGCGAAGGCATGTGTTCCTCTAACTCTAGTTATAATGTATTTCATTGTTCAACAAAACAACGAGATTCCTGCTTTGATACAAATTAGTTTACTGAAACTATGGGTAGAATGGCTAAACACCTTTTAGCAAAACGCAAATGCAAAAACTGAAATGCAAATGAACTCACCATCACATGCCAAGCCGTCGTCATTCAAGGTATAGCCGTCATCGCAGGAACATACAAAACTGCCGACAGTGTTCGTACAGTTATGCGCACAGCCACCATTGTCACTCTCGCACTCGTTGACATCTGAAAAAAAATCAACATTTTCTTAACCATTCACACTCTTGTAAAGGAATTTGTAGAAACATAATTGCTTATTCACATATTACAAAAGAAAACAAGCATAGTTAAATACAACTTAGTGGGCTTTAGGTGTGGATAGCGTGCCATTAACCATATGTAAACAAGAATTCGGAGATCCCATACCTCCATGAAATGTGAGTTTTTGTAAATGTTTTTATTTGTCTCAATGACTATGGAAATAAGGTCGTAATTAGCATAATCTAGTTTAATCTATGGTTTTCCAAATTCAAATGACAATATTCTTAGTGCAAAATTCCTCTCCTTTGTCATAGTTCATTTCAACATGTCCTCATTAATTATGCAAATGACCTCTACATTAACATAATATATGCATAGTGGTGTTAACCTTAAAGTAACTTCTGCTGCAGTACCAAGGTCATCCACCAGGAGGTCAATATTTGACCTTACCCTTCGTCTTCTTAGGACTTACCAGGGTACCAAATATCATCACAATCCATAAAGGCGTTATGAAGTTATGCTGACTACAAATGTGCGGAAACACAAACACACACACAGACACACACACACACACACAGACAGACAGACACACAGACACGCCAAAAATAATACCTCCATTTTTCATGGAGATAACAAATGAGACTCACCATCACAGGCCAAGCCGTCGCCATTCAAGGTATAGCCTTCATCACAGGAACATTCAAAACTGCCGTCAGTGTTCGTACAGTTATGCGCACATCCACCATTGTCACTGCCGCACTCGTTAATATCTGAAGAAAAAAATAGTACTTATTAAGATTCTGTCAAGAGCTAGAACATATTTTCTTGAGAGCAAAGAGACACTATTGAGAAGTCATTCCTGCACACTGCAGTCAGACTTTATAATAACTCTATTTCCTAGCCCAACCATCAGCCTGTGAGCTCGGATCTTTGTTTAGCGTTTGTTATTATATTATGCATTTTTGTCAGTCTCATGCACATGTGATATTCAGCACATATAGTAAGCACAATGTTTTGTAACAAACCTACGTAATTCAGGGTAGATAGACATGTATTGTGTGTATTTCCCTGTCAATGTATGTTTGGGGAAGAAATAAATAAATAAAAGTTTTAAAAAAGTTAAACACTACTGCGCCTCCAAACAAACAAGTCTATTGATTTAAACACTACTGCGCCTCCAAACAAACAAGTCGATTTACAGTCAACCTATTTATTTATTCATCTATTTATTGCAATAATAATAGAATTATTCTAGAATTCACATTCAAACTGTGTAGGTTACCGAAAGGGTGGGTAGCATGTGAAGTCATCTGACGCATGCCTAGTATTGATAGATGCGACTTACCATCACAGGACATGCCATCGACGTTTAAGACATTGATAATAATATGTGAAAGAAGTAAATCGGACTCACCGTCACATGCCAAGCCGTCAACATTCAAGGTATAGCCGGTGTTACAAGAGCATTCAAAACTGCCATCAGTGTTTGTACACGTTTGCGCACATCCGCCATTGTCGGTGTCACATTCGTCGATATCTGGAAATAAACTTATGCTTAGAACTCTTTTATGCTCTATATTATATTATATTTTGAATAGCAAAGTTCTTTCTATCACAACCATTTATTTTTCAAGCCGACGTTTTGATGACCTTCTGTCATCTTCATCAGGGCAATTCTGACTGCAGCTGGCTTACTGTGCACTAACACTAGATGTTACTTGGTGCATAGTGCACTAAAGGTGTTACATAGTTCATACAAAACCAAGTAACATCTAGTGTCAGTGCACAGCAAACCAGTCAGTATTGCCCTGATAAAGATGACAGAAGGTCATCGAAACGTCGGCTTGAAAAATAAATGGTTGTGATATAAAGAACTTTGCTATTCAGTCGTTTACCAACCTGATGAAATTATTTACGGATATATTATATTTTGTTCAGAAAATAAACTTTCGTGCTCGCATCCAATAACATTATCAATGGTTGACATCTAAAGACGCCAACTGTGCTTAAAATTTTGTAATGCCGTGTATTATTTTCATAAATAGAGGAAGACAGTATAAAGTATGTGACCCACATATATTTTTATTGAAATTGAAATACCTTTATTGTACATTCATGCCACGACGGGCTAGGTACAGGTCAAGACGTAACAGACTCATAATAAACGTATATAGAAAATTGGAGACAAGAGATGCACTACTTGACTTAGACATACATACATATGGTACATACAAAGGTACTATACTAGGCTAATACAAAGTGTTCTAGTCACTGAGCTAATATAGAGAGGTCAACTTCTTCTCGCTTTTTTGTACAGTGGAAAATGTGGGAGCAGATCATGTTTGTGATACAGGGTTTGTCTAGACGCATAAAAAATATAAATTTATCCTTTGCACTAGGTGTTCAAAGTATGGTAACTTCTCTTTGATATGATTAAAAAGGACAAATCTTTCATTAGAATATAAAGTACAGTCTAAAATAAAGTGTTGTTCATCTTCTATTCTATTCATGTTACAGTATTTACAGAGTCTATTCTGGAGTAAGATGTGAAAGAAGTAAATCGGACTCACCATCACAGGCCAAGCCGTCAACATTCAAGGTATAGCCGTTAATACAGGAACATACAAAACTGCCGACATTGTTTGTACAGGTCTGATTACATCCACCGTTGTCAGTTGCACATTCGTCGATATCTAAAGAGAAATAAAACTCATAATCACAAAAACTTTTAATCAAGAAAAGTTACCAACTTGAAGGCAATTGGAGAGATAAAATCTATCCAGTGAGTAACTGTTTTTGTGCACTTCATTACCTGCATGTTTGACGTTCATCAACTCATATAACTATGATTATTACCTCCGGGGGAGGAGACATCCTTCCGCGGAAGGGTTTTGTGAGAGATTTTGATTTTCATGTTCGCATCTGTTTCTCGCGTTTGGGTGGACGGATTCTTTTGAGACTCGGTGTATGTTTTGCTATTGGGCTGTAGATTATGCACGTTCTTTTTTTTATTGTCTATGTGTTTTCGGGCGTGAAAATGGTGCCTTTTGTTGGCCCCATAACACCCCTTTGAGCGTGAAAATGGTCGCGAGCGTTGACCTTTCGCGTGTTTAAGCTATTCTCGGTCTGGTCCACGTATATGACCCCTCACACAGAGGGGTGTCCGGTCTCGATAAATTCTTTGTTTAAAACCCTATATAAGAATATACAATAAAAAGCCCGGAGGTATAAAATCTCAGATTTTACTTGTTTATATATGCGTTATATAATTTTCATGGGAACAAAAGAAATATATGTAAGCCTCAAAATGTTCTGTTTCAGTAATGCAGTCGTCTATTTATGCCTTTAGTTATCTATACATTACAGAAGCAGATGGTCCATTCTTAGATACAAACATCACTTTATAATATACTGAAATAGACGCTATCATCACAAAACACTATTTTGACTTAAACTTTGCAATTGGACTCACCATCACAGTTCAAGCCGTCGACATTCAAGGCATAGCCGTCATCGCAAGAACATACAAAACTGCCGACAGTGTTCGTACAGTTCTGATCACATCCACCATTGTCGGTGTCACATTCATTGATATCTGAAAAAAATGATCTTCAACTTATGGCACGCTCTGTGCTATTTAAAAAAAAAAACAGAAATTCAATACTTCCTAAACGTAATACTTATATCTGTATGTGTTTATCTATTTATGATTCATTTCCGTAAACCAACAAGCATCCAACTTGAATCAATGACAAAAACGTTTTTTGTCAGAGAGACCATGGAGGTAGAAAAGAGAGACTCACCATCACAGTTCAAGCCGTCAACATTCAAGGTGTAGCCGTCACCACAAGAACATTCAAAACTGCCGTCAGTGTTTGTACAGTTCTGATCACATCCACCATTGTCTGTTAAACATTCGTCCACATCTGAAAGAAATAAACCCGTCAAGCCCTATACTACATGTATACTAGTATGTAAATTTTATAAATTCTCACTTCAAATACGACAGATTTCAAAAGACTACAATTGCTACAGATAGATTTGATTATATATTTAAATGCAACAGCCCACACAATGCAAAAATAGGTAAATACATAAAAGACTGTTTTGTTATTAGAAAGAATATCGATTTGCTGTCACATGTACCCTTAAAACAACTCCGCCTGATTGTAAAGCCTATGCTAACTTTTGATTATTTCTTTTCTATATATAAGTTGTTTCTATACCTAAGTTTATTCTATACCTATCTATTTATATATATGCTACTTATTGTTACCTATTTGCCATACAATGTTCCTGTACAATTGTCGTACAATAAAGTTCTTCTTCTTCTGTAGAAAACAAAACAAAACAAGTATGGCGTTGTTGTGAATCGGTTTGAGCTTAAGGGTAACATGACAAAACAATTGCGACTCACCATCACAGGCAAGTCCGTCGAGGTTCAAGGTATAGCCGACATCGCAAGAACATTCAAAACTGCCGACATTGTTCGCACAGTTCTGATCACATCCACCATTGTCGTCGTTACACTCGTTGATGTCTGCAAAACAAAGGCAAATCATTGTGCAGGGAATGAAAAAAAATATCAAGACGTTTGCTGGACGTGTGTATTGCGTGACGTAAGCAAATGAGACTCTAAACTTAAACCTAAACGTAATACTTATATCTGTATGTATGTGTTTATCTATTTATCATGGATTCATCTCCATAAAGCAACAAGCATCCAACTTGGATCAATATGACAAAAACGTTTTTTTGTCTGGAACGCAAACATTTTCTTAAACATTTACGATCATTCACACGCTTGTAAATGAATTTGTAGAAACATAATTGCTTATTCACATATTACTAAAGAAAACAAGCATAGTTAAATACAACTTAGTGGGCTTTAGGTGTGGATAACATGCCATAAAATATATGTAAACTAGAAAGGCCAATATTTGCTTTGGAGCAAATACAGCGATGGGTTCACCACATTTTACGACATGGCAGGGAAAGAATGGGAAACACAAGGGAAAACAATGATTTACATTGATATAACTATAATATGAAGTAAAATACAACTAAAACAACAGTTGGATAGCTATTCCCTACTTTATTGGTTAGGATTTTTAATTGCATAATGCAAACTGTTGATTTTCAAAATAAAATAAAAAACGTCCATGCCCGGCATTCCAATGCTGGAGCAGGAAAGCTTGAAATACCTACCAAAACACTTGAATACAGACATACTGTCAGTATGGAAATGCTTCTGTGCAAGTGTTAATCAAGTTAAATCCCAACAGCCAATCAGCAAGAAGTATAGAGGAAAGCTGCATGCCTATTGGTTGATGCCCTGCATTCCATTCTGATGACTCATGCCCAAACGTGGTAAACAAGGCAGACTAACACAGTAATACATTTGCTATAACACAGCCAAAAAACTCAAATAAAACCATTCTAAAAGCCTGTATCACAATAATTTAAAAACGCCTAGGG